GGCAATGCCTTTGACTTTTAATGCTTCATATTTAAGAGAAAGACGAAAAAATTCAAAGCACCTAGATGCTACGTGGTTTGTGGATTGAAATGTACGCACACTCACTGGTACCCACCATGCCAGCAAAGATCCATTTGCTAATCCAGGTGGGAAGACATTGATTCTATGTAAAGTTCTATGTAAAACTGTGAAAAATAGTTTAAATAAATAAATAGAGGTCACAGATAAATGGAGCAGGAGTGAGGAAAAATACTTGACATTTTGAATATTTAGAGGGGATATTATGCAAGTTATTAAGGAAGTTTTTGATAGTGTAGAAGGTAAAGAATATTAAGTACTCCTGGTGATGGGAACTGGGAAAAGCACAATATGACACACAGCTCTTGATTTTAAAAAAGTCAAAATTATTCCTTAACCGTATTAAATTTTGCTCACCAAATGTGCAATCACAAGAAACAAAACAAAATATAAATTCTTTATAATCATTCAGGAAAGTATTCAGTATAATCAGTAATTAAAAACTGAAATAAAATGAGAGTTTTTTATGATAGTCAAAGATTTAAAAAATATTCAATGGAGATAAATTTTTTTCTTAAAAATAATATGAAATGTCCATCTAATAGTCTGTAAAAGTTAACTACCTTTGATTTAAATGATCTTTTTCTAAAAATTTAGCAGGCAAAGATTTATGTGCAATAATATTTATCATGCAAAATATTTAAACTAAAAGTTCAAACAGCTAAAAGCATTAATCTGCATTCATTATATGAAGTATGATGTTATGAAAATGTTTTAAAGTATTTTTAGAAAATGTTTAACGATATGGGGATATGGTTATAGATAAGAGAATAGGAAATGCTACACAATTACACATAGTTTCTAGCTCAATTTTGCTAAAACAGTAAAGTACTAAAGGGAATTATATAAAATATGAAGAGCTTCTCTTTGTGTGTTGTGATTATCAGAAATTATATACCTTTTAAATTATCTTGAATAAGCATATATAGCTGCTACAGTTTAAAACTGCTGTGAATTATTCCCCTAAATGTTCTATTTTTTGGCCTTTCTATGGGGAAATATTTTAGTATGGGAACTGACAGATCCATGTTGGGGTCCTGATGTGCTAGGATTTTGGACAGCACCAGCTCTTACAATTGGTTCCACTACACATACAAAGGACCTTAGGTCCCAAGTGCCCCAGTACAAAGAGAGAAGGGGGCTAGTAGCATCCTGGACAACTATCACGATGACATGAGGTATGGCCATGAAGTGCAGGGAAAGAACAAAGCGCTTCTCAAAGGCTGGACACTCCCTCTCAGTCTTCATCCAGGCTAGCTTCAGTCCTCCTCCCTTGCCCATTTCCGCTTCTCTGTGAGTCCCGGTGGACAGACAGACTTGGGAGATATAAGTGACCTAAATCTAGTTCACATTGCAATTACATATGAATTATGAGACTTGAAAGGGATCTTAAAATCCATTTTATTAAATTCTCAGGCGATTTAAGAATCTCTGCAAAAAAAAAGGCATTGATCCTACGCTAACAGGAGGAAAGACACCGAGTTCAGCACCCTCTTATGGGTGAATCGTGAATCATGTCCTCTTAAAACTCACATGGTGAAACCCTTACCTCCAGTGTGACTGTACTAGGAGACGGTGCTTTTCAAAGGCAGCTGAAGCAAATGAGGCAGTACGAGTTGGGCCCTAATCCAGCAAGACTGGCGTCCTTACAGGAAAAGACCCCAAGGGTGTGCTCGCACAGAGAAAAGGCCACACTGGGCCACAAAGAAAAGATGCCTATCCTGTCCTGGGTCACAATACCTGACACCCACACCTTCAAGGAGCAGAGGCTCCATATGGCTCATTCTCAGGGGGTTCAGTCCCTAGTCGTCTGACTCCACGACAGAAAGAAACAACGTGGCAGAAAGGCGTGGCAGAACAAAAATGCTTAGCTTGTGATAGCAGACCAGTGCTGGGAGGAAGAGCAATGGACAAGACATAGACTCCCCGAGTTACACCTCTGTCACCCACCCAGGCACACACAGAAATGTGCTTCAATCACCCCGCGGGTGGATCCCAAGCCAATCAAGTTGACATAACTAAGCTTATCATGAGAGTGGCCATTGCAAGCCAAAGACAGAGATTGCAGGAGAAAATAACCTTGATGACACCGTTATCTTATGTTTCTATTCTCTAGAACAGTGACAGTGAAACTTTTAGAGCTCTCAAGACACCAACAGCTCACTGTGGCACATGTGCTGTGAGTTCCCACCACCGCTCTGCAGAGTGAGAGACTCGTTTCAGTTGTGTGCATCAGCCCCCAAGCTGTGGTGTTCCCAGGCTGATACAGGTGCTCTGTGGTGGGTAATGAGGCTCCTGTCTTTTCCTCAGAGTTATGGAGGGAAAAATAAAACATATTTAGCAGAAGAATATGTAGATAGTAAAAGCATGGACATTGGGACCAGCTACTTCTATATTCGAATTGGTGACATTAATTATGAGTTAAAATTTGTTAACCTACCTGCACTTCATTCTTTCTAGTTTTAAGATGAGAACAATCATTTCAAACCCATCTTTCAAACCCATTGTATCTTTCAAACCCATCTTAGCCTTTTAGGATTAGTTCTTCTCCTTACGACCAATACTGAAGTTCGAGCATGATCCATACTTTAAGCCACTTAAAGACAAGAGCAATGTGGAATATAAGTGTTTATAAGAAAGCTATAGAAAAAAATGCTATGGGGATACTGAAGACAGAAGGCTTTCACATGCAACACAAAGAACAAAAATCACTGCCTGTGACCATGTAGCTAGAGAACATGGGCATGGACATGTGTAAGATAATATTCCACTCCCTTCATGTTATATTACACCCAGACATCCACTGCGCTGGTCCACTATGGTGACAAATGCCACGATCTTTCACTGCAGACTGCAGAGTCACACACAAAGAAAATACAGAGTACAGCATCATTTTTTAGGAAACTGGTGTGAATTCCTGCCTCCCATCTTTCACTGTGCCCGGCCTTTAAGCTGCATGACCTCATGTTATCCTCCACACTGGGGAAGTGCTCAGGACCCACAGTTTCTTCCTCTGTCATTTCATTTTTTATTGCACATCTCATTCCCACCCTCCATCAGTCTCCCCTAGCTCGCTTCCTTCTTTGCTCCCATTCCTCTACCCACTGAGGAAAACAGTCATGGTTACATTCTTGGGATGCTTAGGGTTCAGTAGGACACATGACCAGGCAAACAAGCAGGCTCATCAAAGACAACAAAACTGGAAATTCATGGAGCTGCGACAGTGATCAGTGAGCATTAGGGATATGCCCAGGTCTTTCCTGGAAGTCAGAAAAGGATTCTCCCTGGAAATGCCCATTCGGGTCCTAAAAATTATGCCAACCTATTATGCATAACGCAGCTCCTTGTGTATTAGTTATTAATATATATGTAAAGTTAATTCCATGGTATATTTTAATAATTATTATTTCTCAAATAATTTTTAATTAAAACAATGCCATCAGCTTCCATATTGTGGTCCAACATTGTCAAGGTAAAAAGTAATCAATTTTTAAAATTTTTACTACAAAGCCTGTCCTCTGCAGAGAATAATATTTTTAGCCCCTCTGCACCAGGTGCTAACAGCATGCTATGTATTTCACAGATAGCCTAATTTCTTCAAGATACAGAAGCACTTTACATTTCCAGATTCAGAAATTAAGTCTTAGATAATGAACTTGTTTCAAGATCATACACCCTCTAATGTACCCAGAACATTTGCCTTGATATTAAAGCTTGTGTGACTGCCAGCCTGACCTTCCTGGGCCTGAGCTTCTTCCCTTACAAAATGCAGAGAATAACAATGTCTATCTTGAAGACTAAATATACAATTTTATCTGATCCTGATGAATAAAATATTAAAAAATACATCTTGTCCCATTAAGGTTCTTAGATTAAAAGAAGAGACAAAAAGAGGTAAGTGAAAACATGCCACCCCGGGTTTGAATGTGTCCCCAGGAATCCATGGGTCCCTAGTGAGGATGGACAGTGCATGGTCCCTCAAGAGATGCCCAGTTCCAACCTTTCTCCCTGGCATTAATGTGAATGAGTGAACGCATAAATAATTCATTCTACCTCTGATTCTAACTTGTTGTGACCTTTACAGAGAACTTATTATCTCTAGGCTTCAGTTTTTAAATCAATCAACAGTTGATTAATAATATCTCACCTGAGAGTCAAATATAATGTGCCAAATAATATAAAATATATAACGACCCCATGCATGTTACAAATACAAACATGGTACAGACCCAGACAACAAAGCTGACGTAGGCATCTTGCATTTAGAAAGTTTTCTAACAACAAACTTATAGAACACGTCAGGATGGATCTTGGCCTGTAGATTATGCTTCTTCATAAATGGTTTAAAATTCAGACCATGGTGAACCGCACTTCTGCTTCTGAAGGTTACTCTACATTCATGGGGGTGGGGGTAAGGGCAGTAGCCATAGGACCACGGAAGTTGAAAGCCACCTTGGCCATCACCTGGGCCTGGGAGTGTGGTGTGGGGACACCACATTGGACCCCACTTTAGTGCTATGTTCTATGTGATCTGGAGCAGGTTCAGCTCATCATCTGGGGCTGGGACCTTCCCAACGTCCACTCCCATTTCACTGTAAGACTAAAATGACCATAAAGATCATGGGACCAGAGACAAAACTAAACAATGCACTTTCAAAAATCACATTTCCGCCAGGTGTAGTGGCTCACGCCTGTAATCCCAGCACTCAGGATGCTGAGGCAGAGGGATCATTGCGAATTTGAGACCAGGCTGGACTACAAAGTGAGCTCAAGGCCAGCCTGAACTGCATAGCGAGACACTGACTCAAAAGACAAAAAAAATAATATCACATTTTCCACATAACTATACAGCGTGCAGTGTGTGTCTGGCGGGTACATGTGCATTTATATGTCTTACTCACCAACAAGGATGGAGCTCTTACCTGTGACCGTGTAGTTCTCCTCACTTCCTGAGTAGATGAGCTTCCCATCCATGTAGAGAGAGTATCCGGTGATAATCCCATTTGCCTGTTTGGGTGGATTCCAGGAGAGTAACAGGGATGTGGGAAAGGATTTGGCTACTGGAGACTGAACCTCTTTTGGGGCTGTGAGGGAAGGAAAAAAAAGGAAAAAGATTTATAGAGTCTAATTTTAGTTTACTTTTCTAACTCAAACTTTTCAGACCTAAACCAATAAATCATGGAATAAGCCTGAAATCCCATGCATGAGTATGTTCCTGATTCCTGGGCAGCCTGTCAGTAATTGCTTCAGGAAAGCGCTAAATAACTGTCCTGAATTTATGGGAATCTGCATCGGTGATGGATGGGGCGTACTTACGCTAGTTCACTTGACTGAAGTCTGCGTTACTTCATCAAAAGTATAATAACCCAGGGTGACTACATGGGGCGGGACAGGAAAGCAATTAGGCTGATAGAGTTCCCTGGCCTCCAGGAGCTTGGGACCTGAGATGCCCCACTCTGATGACAGTGGTTCATGAGCTATTAAAATAGCCAGCAAAATGGAGAATCAATTCATTCCATGTCTATGTCGTGTGCACTTTAAGAAAATTCTTCATTTTACCCAGTGGTCAATTTGAGGCACGGGCACTAAGTATTGTGAAAACTTGACCCTTAGACGTGAACACTGCTCCATATTTTGGGACTAAATTCTTAGAAAAGTTAGAAGTTTAGGAATTCCCTAAAAAGTAAGGAAATATAAATGGGAAGAGTATGTATTTCTCTGAGACATCACTGTGAAATAGGTGTGAATAGTATAGCCAAAATCTACAGAGAATTTTGTGGACATAAAGGTAATAAAGAGCCCTGAGAACACCTGTCCCATGTGAGGGTCAGCGATGGCAAACAGAAGAAGAGATGAAAGCCGTGACCCTGCTGATGCAGTGACATGTTGGAAAAGCTGCGATTTTCAGTAGACCAGAAAGATGGGAAGATTTGGGGGAAATGCTTGAGGATGTGTGAGCAGGCGAGGGGAGTCTGGTTAGGTCAGAAACACAATGCAGAGAATAGTGGGCCACCATAAAAATTTTACAAAATTCTTTTTCTTTGCCACTGCTTCCTTGTATGGAACTATATCTTAGATACACCTTCCGGGTGAAACCATGCTTGCTAAACGGTTTAAAAGAGGGGAGAAGGGAACTCAGAAAGTTGAGGAGATGAACACAGGAATGAGAGACAAATGGTGGACTTTTTTCTCCCTAAATATCGAGCTTTTAAATCTTCTAATAACTTAACAACTAGACAGCAGAAGAAACAGCCATTCCTCTCCTCCAGGAGACAGAAGTAGGATGTCACGATGCGCCTGTGTTTTGAGAGCTGTTATTTCTTGCAGGGATGCATTCCTGTGCGGGAAAGAAGCTTTCCCTTTGGAGTGCTAAAATACTTTCTCTTCTCCACTGTCTCTGAGCGGATGCTCTCAAAAACGTTAATTTATGCCAATGGTTTGCAAGTTCCAAGTACAACAAAAGTGAGGCTTAAGTCAGAAGGAGCTGAGCAGTGATTAATATTGCCTCGATTGGCATTTGGAGGTTCCAGCATACTGAAATAATTGTTGCCTGTGCTGGTGTTTAGCAGTTAAAAGACACCATGGAAATCAACCGTTTGATTCTCAATTTCATACCGCGCCATACAATCAATTCTTTTTAGTCAGACTGTCTCTAGATTTACTTCAGAGCCATAGTAAAATGAGGAAGCTTTCATTAATCTTTCAGATGCTTCATATTAATGACAAGGCTCTTGCATGAACAATGTAACAGCAATTAAAAAGCCCATTAATCTGCATTACAGCTATTAAAGATGCATGTCATTAAAGGGTATGGAGTTTGATTCATTTTCGCACCCCCCAAAAAATGGAGCAATTATGGCCTGGCAATGCACTTTGTCATCAAATTAGGTTGGGGTTTTCCAGCAAATGGCCTGGCAGCGTTTAGCTCTTCTCCTATTTTATTATTCATGACTGAAATGTGGAAGTCAAGACCTTTGAAATTACTTTACCTTCTTGTGGAGTAGAGATGTTCACTGCCTGGGAGCTCTCGGTACAGCCAGCCAGAGTGCAAGCAGTTAGGGTTACCGCGTAGTTTCTGAAGGGGAGCAGGCCTGTCAGGGTGGCTGTGATGACAGGGGGACAAACAGGGTTCGCATGTTTACCATGAGCATCTATTAAGAGGAGCGTGCGCATGCGTGCATGTGTGTAAAAGAGAGAGAGAGGAGACAGAGAGAGAAAGATTCAAAGACAGACACAAAGACAAAGAGAAACAGAAACATACCCTTCTTTGATCCACTGTCCTGATCACACAGTGAGCCAACTCATGAGAAAAACATTATGAAACTCACTTATTGTCAAGGCAGCTATGAAACAGGTATTTCATATTTCACCCAGTCAGGGCTAGGGGTACGGGGACCCACATAGATTACGTGAAACAGAGTACAAGATACCCAACAGTTAAAACAGGTAGCGTCTCACACCGGTGCCCAGACCGCCCACAGAAACAAAACCATTTCATTTTCTTGAACCTGGCATTTTTCAATCGCATGTAACAAAGGAGTCTTTTCTGAGTGCAGAACTGTTAACAAGCTTCAGGAGCCGTTACTCCCAAGAGTGGCTTCATTATTTTACCAGTAGGAAACACATATACAAACTATTTGTTTATGTTGCAGCTAACAAATATGCAAATTAACTTAGTGGGACAATTAGCAAATTAGATAATCATGCTTTTGTACTTCTACTTGCAGAATTATTAGTTTATTTAATTGAGACACCTGTCTTAAGAGAAAGTATTGAATTAACCTAGCTTGGTGGTGGATAGGCCAGATTTCTTCAGCACTTAAAAGTACCTGTGCAAAGGAAAACACATTTTTCTTTACTGATATTTAAAATCAGGACAGGCATTCCTGATTTAGTTAATCCTATGAATTAAAGATTATCAAAATTGTGATCTGGGTGTTTGCTCACCACTTTTATTTTTTTTTTCTTCTTAAGGAACATTCTAAGAGTAATATTTAATCTTAAATATGGATTATTATTATTCTTATAAAAAAGAGTCCCATTCCCGATATCTCTTTATTGATTAAACCTTCAATAGCCTAGAGAATACGTTATTGCTACAGACTGCCAATTCTGGTGACAGCTTGCATCCGTCAAACACAGATTTTAATGGGATATGTTTTTGTAGTCGCCTTTCCCAACAGAAAATTGTAAAACGTACAAGGGCCAAGGGCTGGAATGAAGCAAATGTTCTAAGTGGTTTGCTTTGATCCCTCCAACTTGCCTTCCACCTCAGGTGCTGCATCAGCTCTCCCCTCCACAGCTCCCCAGGCCCCCCACCTTGCACCCCTGGTACCCCATGACCCCCGTGCCTTGCTTCTGGATGGAAATATCCACCCATCTGCATGGACAATGCAACTCATGGCCAGAGAAGACAGCAAGCCAGTGAGCTCATCTGCACGGACACCCGACCATCTCTGGCCAGGCTCAGCTCTAAGTTCTCCACCCCCGTGTCAACCTTCTGCTTCACCTCATTTCTGCTAGGGTGTCATTTCCTCTGGAGTCCCCCCAACCATAACCCGTACCCTGAGCTCCCTCTCTCTTAGGAAGTTCTCACCTGTCCAGTGGATGTCTTAAAGCAAGTTACTATTGCTGCATGGCCACTGACACTGCTGCAAAGTTGCAAAGGGACTGGATACACTGAGTGGAATACTGGGACACAGAGGCCAGTTCTGCGCCTAGTAGGCAGAAATGCGGGCAAGTTGTTCAGACATCTGTGCCTTGATTTCTTCATCTGTGCACAGAAAATGAGAGACCATATCCTGAAGGACTCGCCTCACAAGCCTCAGCTATGAGGCAAGAATGCTGGACCACTTGCCTTCAGAGAGCTTTTGCCTGGGCCGCGAGAGCTCAACTCCAAGTGTTATGGTTAAAAATTCTATTGTCTAAAGGCTGAGTTGCTTCTTGTTTGTGTGGTATTAGAATTTTTAACGCCAATGTAAGAAACGCAAGTTGTGCTATGAAGTTAGTTTCTTTTGTTCAAAATGTCACTTATTTGGAAGATGAAAAAAAATAGTGTGTACCCGGATGGGGTGATTTGGTTGAAACATGAAATACTGTACAAAGACACACAGTAGTTATACACACGCTGAACTGAAATCCATAGTGTGAAGAAGTGTCACACTCTCTCTCTCTCTCTTTCTGCATATGTGTGTGTGTGCATGTGTGCGTATATGTGATGAACTCCATTACTAATCTTTACCTTAAGGAGATCAGAACTTCTGGTTCAAGATGACAGGAGAACTATATTTAATTAAAGAAAGTTGTTAGAAGGATAATCATTGAGGAATGTCCCTCTCAGCAAACTTGCTTCCTCCAGCTCTGTCCTTTGGTGGAGAAGTTTATTGAACACTATTACATTCCATAGAAGAAGCTTAAGCTTCTTAAAAGAAAATTTCTGGGAAAAAATGAGACCATCGTTTCAATCGTTTACCAATGTGCTCACATTTCCCATTTCAGCAGGAAAAATGATAATAAACACTGGAAACTGTGAGCTGTGGAACAGGACAGGACAAAGGAGAAGAAACCAGACAAGTTGGCCGCTCCAGTTCCCAAAGAGAAGATGTGTATAGTTTATAAATCTCATTTTGAAAACAAAGAGGCTGCTGTGGTATTTCTGGCTTCCTCCCAGGGTGAGAGCAGGGGCCTTGTCCTGCCTGTTGCATCTCTAAGACCAAGTTTATTAAGCCACGGGACTAATGCTCTCTGTAGACAAATTGGTATCGTCCCCTTGAATAAAGAAGAGTGGGATGATAATAGCATTTTCCCTCCTCCAGTCAGGTGACAGTTAAGGTTTAGGGCAGGAAGATGGTCTGGTTCCCCTGGATATCCTCAGTAAAGGGGAACAATGACAAAGCCAAACTACTGTCCAGAACCCACAGTTTGTCTTTCTTTGATTCTCAGAATGGAGAGTTTACCAGGATGGATCAAGGACGATATTTATAGAAAGTTGTACTCTACCAAAGGAGGAGGAAAGAGCACATTCTCTCCAAGACTAAGTAAGGTTGTCTTGGATATATCTCATGAGATCCCTGAATAGTTGTCACAAGTGTCTGGCTTTATGGGTCCAAGTCATTCCTAGACTACATACTCTGCAGAAAGGAATAGTGCCACTGTGACAATATATCATCCTAAGAAAGCATTTATCAATTGTTCTTCCGTGTGCCTCTAGGGAAGGTGCACTAGAAGACAATTGATTTTTACAAGGCTTTTAATATAAGAAAATGTTACTGCTAGAGGGATTGTAATGATACACATAGTCACAGAGAAAGCAGAATCTCTGCACACGTGCAAAGGGGTTCTTCTCAATCCAGACTGCCCAGTGTAAGGCAGTAAGAGGCTTGCAGTTAATGAAAGATGAATCTAAAAAAGATGGTAACCTCAAGCCTGTGTCATGATTCTCCTTAAAGGAATACCAGGAAATATCCAGTGTGATATATTTTCAAAGGGACCCTGGATAGGACAACATGTCCACAACTAAATCAGACACACTGTAAGTATCGCATTGCTGCTCCAGTGTGAAAATCCAAAAGTGTAAATAAGGACCAAAATGTTACAGTTAGATAGGGTGAAACAGGAAACAAATGTTCAAATGAGAAGGGGAAGGAGGGAGGGGGGATGGGGAAAGGAAGGGAAGAGGGGAAAAATGAGAGAAGAAGGAAAATGGAAACAAAGCTTTTGTTAATAAAGAAAGGAAGAGAGGGTGAGGAAGAGGAGAGAAATTGGGAGAAAAGAATCCAGATAAGCCAGGTACAGATTCCCTAGGATGAATGTGATCATTATGTATAGCTAAAATGTACCAAAAACTTAATTAATTAAAAAACAGCAGAAAAAAGAGAACGCAGCGTAGCCCCGCATTATGACACTTGGGGTGTCCACAGTCAACAGTTCTGTGCAGTGGGGACTTGGAGAGTGCTTGGCTATGGATGACCTCCCTTGAGCAGAACACCGGAAATTTCCTTGTCTCTTCTGACTGAGCCCATCGCGGCTAGGCGGGCAGGCGACCTCTCAAACTCCCTCCCAGCCATGGAACTCTGTGGGACCAGAAAACGGTCTGGGCCAGGCCTGGCAGCCTGCCGCTCTCTTTCCATAAAGGAAGAAAGCAGGCTGGAGAAACAGCCCAGAAGCATAATATAAGCAGTATTGATGCCTTAAAAGTGTGAGGGTCCCCGGAAACACAGGCACATCGCTGGTATCTGGTTTAAAATCCTCCCTGCCAGCAGGCCCTGGGTGTGCAGTGATAATGCATTTTGCACATTTTGCATTAATGCCTCCCGTGGTGAAGGCATGCCACACCACGCCAAGGGAGTCACACGTCCGGTCAGCCCTCTCCTTTGACCTGCGTGCTGACGGCCACCTTGGGTGCAGAAAGCCTCAGCTCCAGAGCAGGCCGGGGATTCCTTTCAGAAGGAGAAACTGACCCTGGCAGGAATTTAACAGTTGTCTCAGAGAGGGCTCCAAACAGCGCTCTGAGAAGGTCCCCTAGCCTGGAGGAAGCCTGCCATGCGTGAGTCCTTCCTTTCCAGGGATGCAGGGCACCCTTTCACATTACAGTGTGAACAAAATATGTGGAGAATGCCAAATTAAAAATCTTACCACGGTAAAACACGCATTGGTGATAACTCCCTCCAGAATCCTACCCCTGGCTCCAGACACACTCACCCCCTTGTCCCTGCCTTGTACTCTGAAGTGGCTCTGAAGTTTCCTGTCCTGTCTTAAGGAGCTGTGATTAAAAACACCGAATGCTGCAGCCTGGTGCCATGCAGCAGAAAGGCGGGCTCATAAAGTCACTGTGACGTGCTTTACTCTCTGGGGCTGGTGCCTTGTGACTTTCTGCTCTTCCCCAAAGTCACAATGACCATGAAGGAGAAATGTTTTGAGTCAGTTCCAGACTTGGAGGCAGCTGTGACGGCGCAAGCAAAGACTCTCAGGAAAGAAGACTTGCAGAGCTGCTACAGAGCTGCGGCAGGAGGGACAGGACAGGGGCTTGCAAAGTGAGAGGGAGCCCTTCTAGGCAGCTTAATAATGATGTGTCTTTCACTGTAATAATCTCTCTAAAAAACTT